CACACACACACACACGTCACTTTCAAGGCAACTGACTTTTCCTGAACCTGCAATAAATACTTTTATTCACATAACAGCAATGCTTACAGTAAAAGCACTATATTATATGTCTAGTTTACTTGTTATCTACTGCTTTTTGGCCCTCTCTGTGAGATTGTTTCTGTATCACTGCGTCGTCCGACCTTTGACCTGCACAGCTCTGGAACTCATAATAAATCTTTGGTGTTTAAATGCCCTAATAATTGCACAGATTGATCACAAATCGTAGTGTGTGAACCCTTTTCTGTTTACTCTGAGAATGGACTTACTTCAGTTGATATGGCAGTTCCCCATTCTTATGTAAGAGTTTTGTCCACTCACTGAGAGAGAGAGAGAGAGAAGATGCCAGTGTACGCTCAAAGTTTACACATACCACGCTAGATACAAATAAATAAGTCACCAGCGATAGAGGGATAACAGTGATTTCCATAACAGCAGGGAGGAGAGGATTTACACCCACCCGCTTTAATAGAATACATTTCAAATGACAAATACATTTCTACTGCATGAGGTGGAAACAAACCCACTGCTTTACAGTATTTGGAGGAACTGTAAAATGGAATCGGTTTGTTATTACGAAATCTTGGACGAGAAAATACATGCTTCTGCTTTATGTTTGTGAACTTTATCTTTATTATCTTACGTTTGAGTTGACAGTATTTGTAATTGCGCAAAAGCGGTCGTGTTTCTGCAGGGTCTTAATACATAAAATCCAATAATCTGAATTTTAGGCATTAAAATGTATAAATATTATTTTGACATGTCTTAGAAATTACCTGTATAATATTGCGTTTTTCAATCTCGCTTTTAATTGTATTGATCATGCTGTAACAACTACAAAACAAAACCAACATGACACCAATACTGATGATCCGTCCTATCCTTTGTTCTTTGTTTGGCAGCATGGACGTGAGATAGGTCTTGCAGTCATATTGGTCTTAAAAAGGTCTTAAAAAGTCTTAAATGTAACCCGTTAAAACTTGCAGAAACATGCTGATAGTGAGTTTTGAATATAGAGAAGCAGGAAGTTTGATACCGGTCTCTTTTCTACCCAAACATTTCTCTATATGGCAGTTGTTTTGTCTGTGTGACCTTTTACCAGTGACGTTATTTCCACCCACTGACCCCATGTAATGGATGGAGACCAGGGTGTGGTCCTGGACTGAGTAGATTTGTGTAGTACAGTTTCTTAGCACTAGATGGTGGTGTCTGTCCACTGCGGTGGTCTCGTTTCCTCAGCTGCCACATCAACCGTACCAGCAGCAGAATAGCTTCTTGGAAGTATTTGGTGTTAATCACTGTCTTGCACTTCTCCCAAACACTTTTGTAATATTGTGAACTAATTAGTGTTTCTGAAATGCGTAGTTGAATGATTGATAAGTACTTGAATAGAAACTTTTGGTTTAACATACCAAACATTATAGCTATAGCATGTCCTCTTCTCTATGTTAATGTCATTTTGAAGTTACAACTTGAATTACTTAATAATGAAAATAACCAGGAGCTGTTCACATCAGTTCAGATAAGCATTATCATCATCATGAGATTGAAATGTCACAGCGCTGAATCCCACCTTGTCGTTTTCAGTAGAATCTCTGATTTATAACCCGACTCATGTCTCTGTGTCTTTACCAGGTGGTCGAAGCAGCCAACGCCACCACCTTCAGCTGCTACGTGAACCACACCAACCAGACCCAGGTCCTGGTGCCGAGCTTCGACTCCCGTCTCTACATGCTCTGTTTCCTGCCGGCCTTCATCCTGCTGGTGTTCACCCCCAACCTGAAGTACCTGGCCCCCTTCTCTCTGGTGGCCAACGTGGTCATGACCATCAGCTTGGTCCTCATCTACTTCTACTCACTCACGGTAAACACCAGATTTATCTTGTCTCTGTCTCTCTCTGATCTGTCCTGCCTTCATTAACCTTCATTAATTCAGAGAAGATTCACTGACTCCGCTTAGCCCTTTCTTACCCTTTTCTTACCCTGACTATGTTTTACAATAAACCAGATTTCTAGCAGTAGGTTACAAACCACATTTGGCAAGACACAGATGTTACCTGAACCAGGATTTGCATATTTTAGCCCCAGTTTGTACTTCTCTTGTACTAGTCATAGACCAAGAAAGACACATATCTTCTGAAAGACTTCTCTGCTCACCTTGTTCAAAATGTACTTGTTCCCCCGTATGATAAAAAAATATTTTAACGACTCCTAAACTGAAAAAATATATAGTAGAAGTGATATATCTGCTTGCTGCTTTTGTACGATGCATGATTTCATTATATATATACTATATATAAAATATCACAATTATAGGTTTTGGGCAAGAAACACAAGTTGTTTTGGTACTCCTAAATGTTACACGCATTGGGCAATGCTTTATAACGTGATGCATCATCATTAGTAGATCCAACCAGTACTACAGAGCGGCATTGCTCTGTTTGGTTTTTATTCAAAGTTGATTAGTATTGAACATGTCGTATGTCCAAATTGCACCAAATCTGACACAGCACCCCAGAAATACACCCGCCAAGTGTGAAGTCGATCAGATGAACAGTTGTCGAGAAAAGCGAAGAACACACAGCCACCGGACATTTTGGGCTGTTTATCTGCTGCACAACATGGCCACATTTAAAACACATCCTTTAGAAATCAAACTCACAGGCTCTCCAGCAGAAACCTGATAAAGAAAAGATCAGGACACTGCTCAAATCTGGGAAAAATCTGATTACCTAACTGAAATAGTAAACCCTGTTATATATACACAGCTATGAAAATGAAAATAGAAGAAGATAAAAAAAATTCCAGCATGACTGACTTCATGACAGGCTGACAGAAGCGCAGAATATTTGTGTAGATCTGTTTCTCCAAACAATAAAAACGTACTTTGGAACTGACACCCAATTAATCACTGTATACAGTACAACTAAATACGTTCTGTGGTCTGTTAGTTAGACTATAATCTGTAGATTGGGGGCAATATGTTTCTCAATCAAAGCAATAATCTAATGGGATCTTTTCTTTATTTAGGTTTTCTCTCTCCGTTTCTGCTGTGCTGATTGGTTTCTGGGGTTGTTATGGATAACAGGACAACTGATAGTGACAGAGCCTCCAGATTACCTGTTTTCAGGTTATAGTATTTTATTTAGAGTATTTCATCATGCAGCTTTTGCCCTTTACAGATACATAGCAGTCGTGTTCCTTGAGAAACGGCCTTGACTAGAAAAAAGCAATTTCTTGCATCAGAAACCGTACAAAGATTCAGCACTAAGAGATATATGTGTCCTGTAACATGTTTCTGTGGCTGATGAATCACCTGAGCATAAAGGCTACAAGCATTTCAAAACCACCCAGGAATGTCTTCCTTTTTGTTGCCCGGTTGCCCTTTCTGTGTTTTAGCTCGGCCTTTAACCCCAGAATGTATAATAATATTAATCTGATTCTCACATGCTTGATTCAATTTCATTTTAATGACGAGTTTACGGCTTTGGCTCATCCTGGTGACCTTCATTTTAAGAGTAATATAAAATATGGTCACCTAAAGTCATAAGGTTTTCAAATTACAGCAAAGACATTGTCAGCTGACTCTGCCGATCCTTTCTAGCTGATTCGTTGAATTAATTTTATTGTTAAAGATTATGTTGTTTGGGCATGGGCAACAAAACAAACCAGCGACTAGTGGCGCCCATGCACCATGTACTGTAACTATTTGGCTCCCAAGGTGCTAGGGATAATTGAGCGATTAGCAGTGGTGCAGCGGCATGTTTGTTCTAGATCCCATTGTACCGATTAAAAAAAAAGTGTGCATCAGATACATTCTGGGATGAACCTCGGGATGCATCATTTCTAACATCTTCGCAACAGTAAAAAACTATTTATTTCTATATTAATATTAGTAATATTGCCTTTTAATATTTAGAAATGTTACCAATCATTTGTACCATATCACACTATAATCCGTTCCATATTCTTTCGCATAACATCGTATTGCATCGAATCGCATTGTGTTGAATGAAATCGCACTGCATCGCAGCACAAGTAGTTGCTTCATATGTATCTTTAATGTATTGCATCAGCCTCAGTGATGAAGATGCACATCCCTACGAGACAAAGAGTAGTGGTTTAACAAGAGGACCATTTATGACAGTGTGCAAAAGAGAACTTTGATAACTCACACTGTGTTTTCTTCTCCATGTTGGGTGTATTTTGCTGTAATGGCAGTTCCCTTTATACAACCCTGCTTATTTCAGAGCTACTTATCAAACACCCTAATCATATTAAATTACAAGCTAATGTAATTTGCAATCTTTGGCCAATAAACGAGTCCAACAGGAGCAAGGAGAGGTGTCGTCTTGGCACAAGGTGTTGTTACTTACTTTGATTACAAATTATCCAAAATGGACCTCTTGACTCCAAATATGCTGTGATTAGTTTTGGAACAGTAGTCTGGTATTCAGAAAATAACAGATCAGCGAGTCGGAGTTGAGCTTTCAACAAAGCCTTGGATTATAAAATCAAATAAGATGACACAGTATTATTCTCTTTTTCTCCCTCCAGAACATCCCGTACCCGATCAACCTACCTAAAGTCGGCAGAGCTAAAGACTACCCTCTCTTCTTTGGGACGGCCATCTTTGCCTTCGAAGGGATCGGAGTGGTACGTGACCGACTGATGATAACTCTGTTGAGCTGAAGAAAGAGTCAAACACATTTAGCACATCAGCCCCATTTACGTCTGGTGTTAACCAAAAATGCGTGTCTGGATACATTATCTGGATTATGACGGCTAATCAGGGGTTCTTTGCATTTACATCTGGTATTACACCTCTCATTATCTCCCTTATGTTCACATTATGATATCAGGATATCACTATGCAAATTAAGTAGGCAGAGTCGGCGTACTTGTCAACAAACGTGGAGCATCCCAGGCGGAGGGAAGCGACGCCGCAGTATAGATTCTAGGAAGGGCTCATCTTGCCGAGCAGCTTAAGATGGCCCCAAGAGACAGAGTAAGGTGACCTTTAAACTTGTTGAGTGGATATCTTCTTAAGAATGTGGCCTAACTGAGATGTCATTTACAACTAGCTTAGATCCCAAATCAATAGGGGCCAGACTACGATAGTGATTTTAACGAGCATTAACTTGCGTTTGTCCTTATCCTGTTAGGACGGCATGTTTACACTGGTCCTAAATGGGATCTTACACTTATCATATATTTAACAAAGGAGTGGGAAGTCATCTGAAAGTAGCAAAGCATACATCTATATTGTCACATAATTTATGTTGTTTTTGTTCCATATAAGAATCCATGTGACCGTGTGAAGGTGGAGCTTGATGCCTGGATGTATATTATGAATTCAAACCATAAAGGAGAGTAAACCCTACCTATTAAATTGTGATTTTATATCGAGTATAACGTGAAGCAGCCTTGTCGTCTGTCATGTTGCTCAATCATTATTTAAACTGTGTTTACATTTTGTTTTGCGAGACAGATTTTGCATGATGCCCGACGGCTGAGCATGTTTTTCATAACCATGTGTGATATAAAGTGGCCTTTCCCATGAATCACACTGTAGTCAAGCCTCATGGGAATTCACATTGGAAGCATACATGTCGTTTCAATGCACAACGATCTGGTTTATAGTTGGCAGTTGTCGTACATTTATCAGCTTGTTTCGTCTGGGCTTGACTTTGAAAAAGCTCCTGTTATGTTGTGTTCTGAGTTCTTGAAGCGCTCAGCAAGACTGTTGGATGAGAGCAAAGTTAGTTAATCAAAAACATATTTTTCCTCCTATCCATCTAGTGTGAGTTGCCAAGTTTTGGAGGTATCGGCCGTAGAGATGTCTGCCTTCTCTCAAATATTCTAAATCCAGATGGCACTCGGCTTGTGGTGCTCCGAGCGCCAAAAAAATAAAATAAAATTGAAAAACTCAACAGAAATGTGTCTTTGCAGAAATCATGACGCGGTTGCTCGAGACAATCCACAGACCTTGTTGTTAGCAGTTTCATGTAGGACCTGTTTTGTTTCTACATATCACAGCGCAGAAGGAAGTGTGCATCTCATCTACCGTGTCCTCCTCCGCTGAGCTGTGACGTTAGCTAGCCCACCACGGAGATAGCTACGTTTTTCAGATTCAGTTTTTGCCGCTTTGAGCACCACAAGCCAAGTGGCGTCTGGTTCCATTATATTAAAGAGAAGGCAGATATCTCTATGGCCGATATCAAGGTGAAGATAATTCTGCATTGGTAGTCGATTTAACACCATCCAGATGAGAGAACATTACACTTTTCAATACGTTGAGTGCAGTACAGGAGAGCCTCAGCCTTCTGCTGAAATGTCAACACAAATTTAGCCTTCATTATAACATCCATAAGCCAGAATCAAGACATCACAGACTGAGAGGAAGTGACATTTTAAAAAGAAAAACTCGCAGGAACATTGTTTGGACATTTTCTTTCTTGTTTTTTTTTTAAGTCTTTGGACTGTTACCTCTAAGGTTGTTCAAATGTGAAAGGGGAGGATGACTCACAAATCACTCATTGATTTTGTCCTATTAACAGTCTGGTTGTGTCTTTGTCTCCCTGGGTTGGCAGGTCCTTCCCCTGGAGAACAAGATGCAGAGGCCTCAGAGTTTCATCCCGGTTCTGTATGCGGGGATGAGCATCGTCACCTTCCTCTACATCAGCCTCGGTACCATAGGATATATGTGCTTTGGGGAGCACATAGGAGGGAGCATCACTCTCAACCTGCCGAACTGCTGGTAAGTTAACCTCGACATTCCCTGGACCTCAAATAGATGCTGGTGCTTTCCCAGTCAGTGAATTAAAGCCCAATCTTTATTTTGATAAAGGTGCATCGGACGTTGTTGGCACATACATACTGTGTGTGTACAGTCCACACAGACAGACGATTTTGCAGACACATTATGTTCTAAATTGCTTACAAAGTGCATATTGTAGCATGCGGTATGACCACAACTGGGACATACCACTTTGTCATGGGTGTGTGCCTTGAACTTTGACCCTCTTCTTTATACGTCTGTCGCAGACGGTAGCGAAAAATGTGAAGTAAAAAAAAAAAAAGGTATGTAATTTGGAACAGGTGCTACATTACTTACAGAGATTGGAGACATTCACCGAGCTAAAATGATGTATGCATTAGCATTGAATGAAATTGAACAGCCAGAGAAGCATACTGCAGAATGCGACCTGGTGCTGTAGGATATTTTTGTCGTACTGCATTTGACATACTACATTTTTTTCTGGCATACTAAATAGAGTGGGATTATGGGTATTGGAATGCACTCATAAGTCTCAGTGTTCCTCCCCACACTCTGCGTATGTAACCTGCTCATACTGGATTTTGGTTTGATTTAATTTACAAAAGCAATAGTGACTGTTTTTTAAGTCCAGTTATTAATTTCTCCGAAGTGGCTGCAGGCGAGTGCTCAACCGGTAATAGCCTTACAAAAGCAGTAGTGACTTTAGAGGCAAATGAGAGAGTAGAGAGTGTTCCTATGATGCCATCTAGTGGCCACCCTCAGAAGAACTGTAAACTTCGTGTAACCTCCATACAGTGGGTCCATATCCAAACAAATGACTTAAGACACAAAGTTTTTGATTTTACTGATAAATGATACTGATCTTATCAGCTAATTGAATCTCTTATTTAACATGTTTTGCACCCACGGCC